ATTCAATCACATGAGGATCAGGCAGGACTACAAAGGGATCTGGACAGGCTGCAAGCTTCGTCCAGCAACGGGTTCCTAGAGTTTAACTCCACCAAGTGCAAAGTCGTGAAGATCGAAGGAAGGGCAAAGAAGACTGCAGACAGAGTATAGTCTAGGGGGCCAAAGACTGCAAACCTTACTCAGTGGGTGAATATAATACCGAGTACATCTGATGCGCACATCAACCAAATAACTGGTACAGCATAAGGACGATTGGCAAACTTATGAATAGGGTTCTGACACCTCAATAAGGAATCATTCAAGACTCTGTACATCGTATACGTCAGGCCCGTATTGGGGCAAGTAGCACCAGTTTAGCACCCACACATGGTCAAGAACGTCCTGATATTAGAGAAAGTGCTAAGGTTTGCAATAAGAATAGTCCCGGACCTAAGGGGCATGTCTTACGAGGAGAGGTTAAGGGAAATCGACCTGACGATACTGGAAGACAGGAGGGATAGTTGGGACATGATAATGATATATAAAATACTGAAAGGAATTGACAAGGTGGACGGAGACAGGATGTTCCAGAAATGGGACACAGCAACAAGAGATCAAAATTGGAAGTTGAAATCTCAAATGGGTCAGAGGGATGTTAGGATTTCTTCTGTCATAGAGTTACCAGGATGTAGAATAATCTGAAAGTGATGTAGTGGATGCAGGATGTATACATAACTTTAAGAAGAGTTGTGATAAGGCTCATGGAGCAGCGAGTGGACCTAGTAGAGACCAGTGAAGAGGTGTGGCCAAGAGCTATGACACGACCTGCAACCACAATTAGGTGTTCCAGGATGTTCCAGGGAGGGGACACAGAAACAAGAGGTCACAATTGGAAATTGAAGACACAGATGAGTCAAAGGGATGTTAGGAAGTATTTCTTCAGTCATAGAGTTGTCAGGCATTGGAATAGCCTAGAAAGTGGCGTAGTGGAGGCAGGAATCATACATAGTTTTAAGATGAGGTTTGATAAAGCTCATGGAGCAGAGAGAGAGGACTCAGTAGCAACCAGTGAAGAGGCAGGGTGAGTACACACACACACACACACACATGGGGTGGGGAGCAGGGTTGGGGAGAGTGACCCAGTAGCAGCCAGAGAAGAGACAGGGCCAGGAGCTATGACTAGACCCCTGAAACCAAAACTAGGTGAACGCAATTGAGTGAGTACACACACACTCACACACAAAGAGATTGGGTAGCAGAGCTCATGAAATGGGAACATGAGTGAGGAAGGAAGCTAGGAGAGCTTAGCATGAAATGGAGGAGGAGATAGCTGCAGAGAGCAGTAAGTGGGAGATGCAAGTCACATCAGCAGAGGCTAAGATACAGAGATTAGAAGAGGAACTGAGAAATCTGAAACAGCCTAAAGAACTAAAGAGCAATTTGGGTATGACATCAGAAACTGCTACCCCAGTCACAAACAAGGGGGCTGTGGGGAACGAAGAAGTGAAACTGTATGCAGAGGCCCTTTCAAACCATTGTGGATCCCTGGAAAAAAAGAGGAACACATCAGGAACAGTCGAGAGGACTGTAAAAAATGAAACAGCTAAGCTATACATAGAGCCCCTAACAGACCACAGCAGTGCCCCGGGAAAGATGAGAAGGGAAAATAACAGATCACTGAGCCCAGGAACAGCAGATAGTGAAGAGATTGAGGAAAGGAAAGCTGCAATGGAGGCAACTAAATTTAATCAGGGGATACATAGGAATATGCAGTGGGAAAATGAAGGGGAGAGATCAGTCTTTGTTTATAGGCTCCAGGAAGTTATATTGGAAACTTATGAAGCAAGAAGACAAGGGGAGAAAAAATCGATTGAAAACATCATGAAAGCAATAGGAGAAGATGACATAACCCAGCTGGCAAATTTTCTGAGAATAGGGGGGTTTGCAAGAGGAAAAATCCAGCCAGTCAAAGTGATTTTCAAGGCAGAATCGGCTCACAACAGGATCCTGCAGGAGAAAGCAAGACTAAGGGACATACCAGCATACCAGGTGTATCTCGACCTTGTCAGAACACGAGAAGGAAGGCAGAAACTGAAAGAGAGTGTACAAAGAAGGAAAGAAGGAAAGAGAGGTGAAGATGGAGATGGACAGAACCCAGACTCAGGAGGAGGATCAAATGCAACTTCCCTCACAACCACCTACAGAAGCCCCCCAACCAGGAGTACCCCAGTGCAACCAAATATTTTAACTGAAAACACACATGCCATACCCAGTGCCCCCACCCACCTCATTACAAACTCCACCTTCACAGCAACCACAGTTTTAGAAAAGAAGTTGAAGGTTTGGTTAACAAATGCAGATGGAATAACAAATAAGTGTGTGGAATGGCATGAAAAAACCAAGGAGACATTCCGAGACATAATAACACTCAAAGAAACGAAACTCACCTGAGGATTTGGCTATAAAATCCTCAGGAAAGATGGAGGGAGCAGAGAGGGGAGGAGGAGTCGCACTGCTAATTAAAAACCAGTGGGGATTCGAGGAAATGAAAGGAATGGATGAATGAGCGAAAGGGACTACATAGTAGGAACAATTCAGTCTGAGGGCCATAAGGTGATAATTGCAGTAATGTACAACCTGCCACAGAACTGTAGGAGGCCAAGAGAAGAATATGACGAGAGCAACAAATCAATGGTAGACACACTAGCTGAGGTGGCCAGAAGAGCTCACATTGGGAGAGCAAAGTTATTAGTTATGGGTGTTTTCAATCACAAGGTCCACTGGAGCTAGTGATCACGTAGTTCTGTCCTTTGATTACATAGTTGAGCTACAATTGGAGAGGGTAGCAGGAATAGGGCGGGAAAAAACAAACTACGAAAGTTGGGACTACACCGGCATGAGAAACTTCCTGCAAGACGTTCAGTGGAAGAGAGAAGTGGCAGGAAAACCAGTAACAGAAATGATGGAATATGTGACAACAAAATGCAAGCAGGCAAAGGAGAGGTTTGTTCCCAAAGGAAACGGAAATAATGGGAAGACCAGAACGAGTCCTTGGTTCACGCAAAGGTGTAGCGAGGTGAAAACTAAGTGTGGTGGAGAATGAAAAAGGTATAGAAGACATAGGTCCCAGGAAAATAAAGAGATTAGCTGAAGAGCCAGAAACGAATATGACGTGTACAGTATGCAGTCATGGAGAAGATTACCAGGAGGAGAGTGGTAGAGCACCTAGAAGGACACAAGCTTATAAACGACAACCAGCATGGTTTCAGGAAAGAAAAATCCTGTGTCACAAACGTACTGGAGTTTTATGACAATGTAACAGAAGTAAGACACGAGAGAGAGGGGTGAATAGACTGCATTTTCTTGGACTGCAACAATGCCTTCGACACAGTTCCTCACAAAAGGTTAATGCAAATACTAGAGGATCAGGCATGCATAACAAAAAAGGCACTGCAAAGGATCAGAGATTACCTAACAGGGAGGCAATAACGAGTCATGGTACGTGACGAGGTGTCAGAGTGGGCGCCTGTGACGAACGGGGTTCCACAGGGGTCAGTCCTAGGACCTGTGCTGTTTTTGGTATATGTAAATGTCATAACGGAAGGGACAGGCTCAGAAGTGTCCTTGTTTACAGATAATGTGACGTTAATGAGGAGAATTAAATCCGTCGAGGATCAGGCAGGACTACAAAGAGACCGGGACAGGCTACAAGCCTGGTTCTTGAATTTAACCCCGCCAAATGCAAGGTCATGAAGATCGGTGAAGGGCAAAAAACCGCAGAGTATAGTCTAAGTGGCCAAAGACTTCAAACTTCTCTCAGTGAAAAAGATCTTGGGTTGAGTAAAATACCGAGCACATCTCCGGAGGCGCACGTCAGTCAGATAACTGCTGCAGTATACGGGCGTCTGGCAAACCTGAGAATAGCATTCCGATACCTCAGTAAGGAATCGTTCAGAACTCTGTACACCATATACGTCAGGCCCATATTGGAGAATGCAGCACCAGTTTGGAATCCACACCTGGTCAAGCACGTCAATAAATTAGAGAAAGTGCAAAGATTTGCAGCGACACTAATCCCAGAAAGGTTAGGGGAAATCGGCCTGACGACACTGGAGGACAGGAGGGTCAGGGTAGACATAATAACGACATGTAAAATACTGCGAGGAATTGATAAGGTCGACAAAGACAGGATATTCCAGACATGGGACACAGAAACAAGGGGTCACAATTGGAAGTTGAAGACTCTTATGAGTCAAAGGGATGTTAGAAAGTATTTCTTCAGTCATAGAGTTGTCAGGGAGTGGAATAGCCTAGAAAGTGACGTAGTGGATGCAGGAACCATACATAGTTTTAAGACGAAGTTTGATAAAGCTCATGGAGCAGGGAGTGGACCCAGTAGCTATGACTCGCCCCCTGCAACCACAAGTAGGTGAGTACACACACACACACGCAACAGCACACACTCACACACACACACACACACACACACACACACGCACACACACACACACATAACACACACACACACACCACACACACACACACAGTCACACACACACACCACACACACACACACACACGCACACACACACACACACATACACACACACACACACACACCACACACACACACACACACACACACCACACACACCACACACACACACACACACACACACCACAACACACCACACACACACACGCTCAAATTCACATAAATATACAAAGTTAATAAGCAGGATGTGAAAGCACAGTTGTTATGACAAAAGTCTAAGAAGGAAATTCTCGAATGTATTTGTTCAAATTCAATTATTGCACCGGTGGATGTTTTTCAAACCCACTCTGGGGCAGTACTTCTCCTCTCCTCTGAAGAGGAGTTACTCCACCTGCTTAAGCATGAAGTTCTTGATAAATTGCAAAATTTGGGTATCATCCCCATTCCGCCTGATAGCTATCAAGCCCAACGAACTGTATTCGTGGCGAGAATAAGGTTCTCAATGCATATAAATTCTCTAAACCTGCCAGCAAACAGGTAACGTTAAGTTATTCCTAGAGACACCTAAAGAAGCCAAACTCATGTGTCAACATGGTTTCAAATGTTTTTGGCACCAGATGTACACCTGACCAAATCTCTCTTCAACGGTTTGTCAATGTTACACAATGTTTCAAATGTCATGCGTTTTGCCATAACACCAATAAATGCAGTAGTCAATCAACAATCTGCAGGATATACTCTGATGAGCATTCTTTTAGAGACTGCCATAACAGAACTAACCCCAATTTTGTAATGGAAAACACCATGCTGTTTCCCCTATCTGTCATGTGAGAAAAACTACAATTCAGAAAATTCTAGAGGCAAAGAAACTGTCAAATTCTAAGAGAACCACTCCCCAGGCACCTCCATCAATGTTCCGGGCTTCATTCCCAGCTCTACCTGAATCTGGTGGGACTCCTCAGGTCTCCTCTATCGGTTCCAATGTTTGGACCTCTGGCCCTCCTGCAGCGCCCCACCCTTCCCCTAACCCTCACCTACAACAAACACAAGCACAAGTTTCTTTCTCACTCCCTATGTCTCCTGGGTCCTCAGCCGGGATATGACGAGAGCTTAACTAATGTTCATGTTAGTCAAGGAGATAGCAGGTAACGATAATCAACTCTGTTCTAATATTTTCAATGATATGTTAGTGGCTAATGGGATCAGTCCCATTCGATTCCGAGATAATGTGCAGTTAATTATGGCTCAGTCCCCTAAAGATAGAAAGTATGTACCCTCCCATACCCCTACAAATACGCCTAACTTCATTTCTCTTGCAGGGCTCAACCGCCTCCAACAACCAAGTTGTAAACTTACTTCAGCCCGATGAGTTAATACCTGCCCCTAACCTTGCCCCAGATACTGGTGCTCATCCTTCCGCTATTGAAGCTGATCCTGCAGAACAAGTAACTTTCCAGGGTACTTCGCCTGGCCTACTAAATTTTCCGTTGGAGCCCCCAGTCTCCTTTTGACACTCATGTGCCTTTGCTTCCTGTAACTGGGAATACCACAACTCAGTTATCCGATGATGACTCTAATGAGTCTGTTGATATTACCACCACGAGTGAGGATGATGACATGGTCAGTACGCAAGCAACTACTCAGGAATACATTCTTCCCCTTAATGAGTCGAGTAGGGAGAGTGTACATTCCAGTTGTGACGATACTTGCAGACGTCAACCCTCTGTCCGAAGCAAACGTGCAAGGTACAAGAAATAATGGGGATTACAATTTTCCAACTTAATGTTCAACATTTCTTTAATAACCGTTACCTCCTCGAAGTTGAACTACACAATTACAACTCTGGCGTTATCCTCCTGAATGAGACAGCGGCGGGAGTTGATCAACATATCAAATTACGAGGTTATTCTACTGTGGAGAAATCGAGAGGACCGCATAGTGGCGTGACCGTCCTAGTTAAATTAGGATATGCGTTTCGAAACATTTACGTTGACGAAGATAACATTATTGCAACTGAGATGACGACATCTTATGGTCAACTACTGATAGGAACTGGATATTTTCCTCCGAGACAACCATATATAGCGTCCGTTCTCCTACATCGGATACTAAGTAAAAATATTCCAACAATTCTGGCAGGAGATGATTTTAATGCCCACCACCCTGCCCTCTGTAACTGCGGACCTGTTAATCCGTTGGGCGACTTGAAGGGAAATCAACTATTTAATATCATGACAGCCAGATCTGTCGTTTCAAGGACCATTCTTTAAGTCATATGTCGGTCGTCATCCGGGGACACCAGATATAGTCTTGACCAACAGAGATTGTGACCTCTTCCATTGCCGAGTCTCTCCTGGTGGGAACGTAGGATCTGACCATATCCCTGATATAATAAAGCTACACGCTTCCCCATTTAGAATACCAGTACCTCCTAAACCCAATCTCAACACCCTAGGGTTTGACCCCTTCAGGGCATTCCTAGGTAACGACGATACTGTTTCGCTGGAGAATTTGCCTTCCGCTGCAATTGACGAAGCGATCAGGTCCCTCCACAGCCGAATACTTGATGCCACTAATACAACTTGCCAATTAGCCTCCACAAAGATCTACCAGCAATATAAACCTACTAGGGAAATTAGAGACTGCATGAAAAATTATCAAACGGAATGTCAAAGGCATCTTCAAACACAACAGCCACCAAGGGCTACACTGCATAGGTTGAAGTAGGACTTAATTACCATGATTAGTCATCACAAACGAGACTTATGGAAATATCTTGTTCTTAAAGCTAACCAGTATAAACGTCAGCCTGCAAAATCCTGGAGCAAGATCCGGCAGCTTCTCCCAGTTACCTAATTCATACCTTCACTGACGATGATGAGGAGGAGGTTGATATAAAACTTGATGATCCATAGAACCAGGCCAGTCTGATGGGTAATGTGTGGGAGAAAATTCTTTCACACAATAACAGTCGCAGATTTAATAATAACCAATATCAGTTGGTCAATGAACGGAGAGATGACAACGTAGTTGATCTGCAACCACTCCCTGTAATCGATACATCAACTCTTGAAGATGACCACTGTCTTACTAGACCAATTACACTCCCAGAGATGAGTCAAGTTATTGGACGAATGCGAAATAGAGCCCTTGGTCTCTTTGGAATAACAATTAAACAGAGAAGTTTCTTACCTAGAAATTGCTAACAGTCTTTGGTCAATATCTTTAATGCCATCTAGGCCTCCGGGCACTTTCCATTGGTTTTAAGTCTGCAAGTATGATCTTTATTACTAAACCCAATAAAGACAACCACCGACCTGGGAACTATAGACCTATATCTTTACTTGAGGTCACTGGCAAAGTTCTTGAGAAAATCATTTCCAATAGATTGAACTATTACATGGAGTATGATCACCTCTTTACTGAAAAACAGTTCGGCTGAAGGACTCATTGAGGTGCCCATCATGCAATAAATATAATTTTCGATGCTGTTGCAACCCTGAAGCAACAGAGCAATATTGCCCTAATTACCACCAGGGATGTTCACAAAGCTTTTGACAGCTTGTGGCATGATGATCTTATATTTAAACTTATTGACCTACCTGACCACAACTGGTCCTTTCTCAGATTTATATATAACTTCTTGTCTGAAAGAAAAATCATCCCTACCTTTAACGGCAAGTCGGCAGAGCCTTTTATACCAACAAGGCTCATGTTATCCATGTCGTCTCATCAACCCCCATTAATAGGAAAATACAAGTATGAGAGGGTCCATAGAAAAAATGAATACTGAACTCCGTCGAACAGATAACTGGGAAAAGAAATGGAGAATCAAGACCAACCCTTACAAAGTCTTTATCAGCACGATAGGCTGTTTTGCGTCAACTATCGAAGACAAGGGGGGTATCTCCATCAGAGGTACACCTATAGTCATTAGAAACCCTAACAAGATCCGGGGATATGAGATAAACAGATTACTCCACTCAACATCTCATGTCAGTAAACAAACTTAGCCAAAGCCGGTCTTACCAGTCTGTATAGATTTAATCAAGCTCCTTCACAAGTCAAAAAACATCTGTATAAAATGATGATAAGACCTATACTCGAATACCCGTGTGTCCCAATGTCGTTAACAACAAAAACCAACATGATACGGTTGCAACGAGTCCACAGTAGGTTCTCCGCTTTATTACGGGTACCAGGAGGAGAGACGGAATCAGGAAGGCAGAATTTCACATCCGCCAGGTTATTTCTGCCCTAAACGTACAACTTGATACGCTTGAAGAAGAGGCAACTTTATGCAATGCAAGAACTCTATATACCAGACAGAGAGAATCCTCCCTACGTTGCAAATACCACTGACTATATCATCAGCACTCCTCCCCACAGACCCAAAAAAAAGACTTCAACAGAGGGTGCGTCGCTTTATCCACAAGGATGATTACCGACGACCAATGATCTTGAGCAGCCTCCCTGCAGATGAAGATGACTCGGTAACACCGGAACCCGTCTCTGTCTACTAAGAATATCATCGCCCCTAATTATGGAGATATATTTTATAACTTCTTTAAGCACACATCTACTACTGTATCAGCGAGATACTTACTATGGCGGGTCACCACCTGGAAAGAAGCCAACATGCCCAGTAATTTTAAATAAATTGCGCGTATATTTATCGCCTTGATCTTGTCAATACCAACCTTCGTCCTGCAATCGCAAAAAACAAACAGCAAAAACAAAAAAAATAATAAAAATAAATAAATAAAACACAATTGCAAATTATATATCCATTATCAACTCATACACGTATATATTTGTTATATCTGTGTGAATCTGATGGGTAAATGTTATACTCCTGTCAATAATTTTCTGTTACTACACATACACCTTCCAAATTGCACCAAAGTGGTTGTGCCACTTCCCTTTGTATCCTACCCCTCTTTCCCCTCCCTCCCTTTTCCCATATTTCAATCCTTACCCTTCCTTCTTCCTTTCCTTTCTTACCAAAACTCTGGTCATAAGTTCAAGTTCAAGTTGTTATGAGCACAGCCATGAGTCACTATGACAACGACCATCCTGGGAAAGTAACCATGAGCGTGAACACTAATGCAGAATCATATATGCACATGTCTGAATGCATACGCTCAGTAACATAAACACACACACACACACACACACACACACACACACACACATAGAGTTCAAGACACAAACACTATCGACTAGTGCCTTTGACAAACAGGAACTATCACAAAAGGCCCAGTAATGAGTGATAACATTATCATCTCACAGTATTTAGGTTTTTTAATAAATAATCTTCCTGTGTTATTTAATTTTGCCCAATAAGCATTCCCTTATATATTGTACATAGTCATTATAATTAAAAAATACGAAAAATATTGGTATCGGTCAAAAGTTGGGTATCGGTATCGGGCAATATTTTGGTATCGCCCCATCGCTAGTTTAAGTTTTCAATTCAGGTAATTACTCTCAGACAATATATTAGTTATTTCTAGTATATAAACGGTTTTCTTTCAGATGGTTCATTATCTACGGATTCCAGGAGGAATTGGATTTTTTGAAGCAGTAACTAATAACTGGGAATCCAAAAACAACAATAATCTCTCTCTGCTGATCGAAAATATAAAGCTAGTAGGTTGCTTACATGTCATTTGTGCTTCATAATGATCAGTTCAGGTAGTGTAGTGTTTTGTTTTGTCATGTAACTATAACTTTGTAGAAGTTTGTTAATGTCAATAATACAAAAAGCTATGACCATCATTTCTGAGGAAAGTCGACTACTCATACATTACAAATGAGTCTAGGGGCTCCTTTTTTTTTTACCACAATAAGGCGACTATTAACAATATATTCATCTGCGGACAGTTACAGCAGCTGTCGTCGTACATAACAATTGTTGTGATAAGTGACGAAACAACGTTCCTGGCCGCCTTCACGAAGTGGTCAGGGAGGAGCTTCCTCCTGGTGTGGTCCACCAGGATCCTGATGGTTACTCGCTCTCACCTCTCGCAGCTTCAAAATCTACACATGGCCTTATCTAAGTGGAATGTTATGTTGCTTATTATCACTGATGATACATCAAACATCAGGTAACTAACAGTGTTGATACAACAAACATCAGGTAACTAACAGTGTTGATACAACAAACTTCAGGTAACTAACAGTGTTGATACAACAAACATCAGGTAACTAACAGTGTTGATACAACAAACATCAGGTAACTAACAGTGTTGATACAACAAACATCAGGTAACTAACAGTGTTGATACAACAAACATCAGGTAACTAACAGTGTTGATACAACAAACATCAGGTAACTAACAGTGTTGATACAACAAACATCAGGTAACTAACAGTGTTGATACAACAAACATCAGGTAACTAACAGTGTTGATACAACAAACATCAGGTAACTAACAGTGTTGATACAACAAACATCAGGTAACCCTCAGTGATGATACAAACAACATCAGTTAACTATCGGTGATAATACACCAAACATCAGGTAATTATCTGTGATTATACAATAAACATCAGGTAATTATCATTAAAAATGCGTGCCGTAACTGTTGATGTTGACTTTTAACAAAGACGCACGTACTGTGAAAGCCTCTTGATCAAAGGAGATGCGTTTGTGTTCCAAGCCTTTGAATCGAGCCCGAATGTCTTCCATTCCCCAGGTGTTCTATAACCCCGAGGACTATAGCGGTCCCATTATGAAAGTAACAATACTAATATAATAATAATAATAATATCTTCATTTGCTGCAAGTACATGTACAAGGTATACAGTCCTAGCTGACATCAATGACATACTACTATATAGAAAGCCACTTGTTATGCTGAGCATTTCGAGCAAATTAGGTCCTTGTCCCAGGATGCAACACACATCATTCGACTTTTTTACTGATGGGTGAACATAGACAACTAGTGCAAAGGAACCACACCCAATGTTTCTACCCTTGCTTTGAATCGAACACAGACCCACGCCGTGTGAAGTGAGAGGTTTAGCGATCAGGCCACGGGGGGCACACACACACACACACACACACACACACACACACACACACACACACACACACACACACACGCGCGCGCGCATACACACACACACACATACACACCCACACAAACACACACATACACACACACATACACACACACACACACATACACATACACATATACACATACACATGCACATACACACACATACAACACACACACACACACACACATACACACACACACCACACACACACACACACACACACACACACACACACACACACACACACACACACACCTAACCTAACCAAACACATTAGCTTATAAATCCCCCCACCACACACACACATTTTTACGATAAGCTGAAGCAGCTAGAACATACCAACAGGATAAAAACAAAATGGCTCTCAAAATAGAGGACGTAAAGGCAAGGGAACCGATGATGGCTGGTCGGAAAAGGAAGAATGGGTAGAACGGCTCAAGAACAAAATGGAACAACAATGGGAGAAAAGGTTAAACGAACTTTGCAATAACATGTTAGAGCAAATATCTGCAGAGAGCAAGAAGTGGGAATCACGAGCTATAGTAGCTGAGGCAAAGATACAGAGATTGGAGAAAGAAATGGATGTGCTTAAGCAGGATCTAAAGATGAGATCCGAAAGGAGCAAGATGACTGAAATGGGAACATCAGTAGGCAGCAAGGGGACTGAAGGAGGGGATGGATCTAAGCAGTCTTTTGCAGCAATAATATCAGGCCATCATGGTGTCTGGGAGATGATTAGGGAAATAGCAAAGGAGATGCTTAAATCAGATCCAGAGATACAGAGGGAAAAGAAATGGGAAGAGGAGAGGGAGAGATCAATAATTATTCATGGGCTTCAGGAGGCTGAAGGGCAGACCTATGACGAAAGAAAGCATTGGGAGAAAACAGAGATTAAGAACATCATTGCAATAACAGGAGAGAGGGACATGTCTCAGGTAGAAAATTTTCACAGACTTGGGGGTATTTGAGGGAAAAAAATCGACCAATCAGATTGACATTCAAGACAGATGTGGTACGGAACAGGATACTACAACAGAAACCACTGTTAAAGGACTCTCCAGATTATCAAAAAGTGTTCCTCAATCGAGACAGAACACGAAAGAAAAGGGAACAACTGAAAGTGAGAGCAAGACAGAACCAGTGGAAGTAAAGAGAGACAGGACAGGCAATGACAGACAGGAAAACTCAGCCTTTGGGGGAACATCGAAGACAAATGCTTACAGAAACCTCTCAAACCCTGTCCCCACATATCAACCAAACACAGTAAACAGAAACGAACCTCACTCCATAGCCACCACCCCCCTAAGCACTAATTCCACAGTCACAGCAGCCTCCTATAATATTGTGCCCTGCCTCCCAACCTCCCAGCCTGCACCTTCCTCTTCCATCTCCCAGTAATGGAAAGGAAGCTAAAGGTATGGTGCACCAATGCAGATGGAATAACAAATAAGAGTGAAGAGTGGCAAGAACGCATCATTGATGCATCACCTGACACTATAGCACTAACAGAGACAAAACTTTTAGGGATGATAACAGATGCAATTTTCCCACCTGGATATTAGATTATGAGGGAAGACAGAGAGAACAGAGGAGGGGGAGGAGTAGCATTGCTCATAAAATCCAGTGGAGTTTTGAGGAGATGGGAGGAATGGAAAGAAGGGAAACAGACGACTTCATTGTAGGAACACTTCAGACTGGTGGTCCAAAGGTGATGATAGCAGGAGAACAAGAGAAGAGTATGATGTGTGCAATAGGGCAATGGTGGATACACCAGCTGAAGTGGCCAGAAGAGCTCATATGGGTAGGACAAAATTGCTTATAATTGGGGATTTCAATCATAAAGAGATTGACTGGGAAAACCTAGAGCCACATGGGGGACCAGAAACATGGAGAGCTAAGATGTTGGAGACTGTATTGGAGAACTTCATGCATCAACATGTTAGGGATACAACCAGAGAGAGAGGAGAGGATGTTGCAGCAAGGCTGGATCTCATATTCACCTTGAATAGTTCAGACATAAGGGATATCACCCACGAAAGACCCCTTGGCGCTAGTCATCATTATGTCCTGAGTTTTGAATATCTTGTTGAGTTAACAGTGGAGAATGCAGTAGCACGAGAACAAAGAGAGAAACCAAACTTCAAAAAAGGGGACTACATATGAATGAGAAGTTTCCTGCATGAAGTGCAGTGGGAAAGAGAACTAGATGGAAAGACAGTAAATGAAATGATGGAAATAGTAACCACTAAGTGCAGGGAGGCAGAGGAAAGGTTCATACAGAAGGGCAACAGAAAAAAATGGTAAGACCAGAGTGAGCCCATGGTTTAATTGGAGGTGTAAAGAGGCCAAAGCCAAGTGTGCGAGAGCATGGAAAAGGTATAGAAGGCAAAGGACTCAAGAAAACAAGGAGATGAGCAGAAGAACCAGAAACGAATATGCATGGATAAGGAGAGAGGCCCAGAGGCAATACGAGAACGACATAGCATCAAAAGCCAAATCTGAACCAAAGTTGTTATACAGTCACATTAGGAGAAAAACAACAGTCAAGGACCAGGTAATCAGACTGAGGAAAGAAGGAGGGGAGCTCACGAAGAGTGACCAAGAAGTATGTGATGAACTAAACAAAAGATTTAGAGAAGTATTCACAATAGAGTCAGGAATGCTTTCAGCAAACTGTGGAGGTAGGGTGCACCAGCAGGCGCTGGACACAATACACATAACCAAGGTAGAGATGAAGAAAAGGCTAGACGAACTCGATACCTCAAAGGCGGTGGGCCCAGATAACATATCTCCATGGATACTGAGAGAGGGAGCAGAGGAACTGTGTGTGCCAATAGCAGCAATCTTCAGTAAATCTATTGAAACATGGCAGTTGCCTGAGGCGTGGAAGACAGCACATTTAGTTCCAATTTTTAAGAAAGGGGACAGACATGCAGCATTAAACTACAGACCAGTGTCACTGACTTGTATACAATGTAAAGTCATGGAAAAGATTATCAGGAGAAAAGTAGTGGAACGCATTGAAAAGATTGGGCTCATACATGACAGTCAGCATAGCTTCAGAGATGGGAAATCCTGTGTCACAAATTTACTTGAGTTTTACGATAAGGTAACAGAAGTAAGACATGAGAGAGAGGGATGGGTAGATTGTATCTTCTTAGATTGCAAGAAGGCTTTTGACACAGTACCACACAAGAAACTGGTGCAAAAATTAGAGGAGCAGGCAGGAATAAAGGGGAAAGTACTGCAATGGATCAGGGAATACCTGACAGGAAGGAAACAACGTGTGTTGGTACGTGCTGAAGTGTCGGAGTGGGCGAATGTGTCGAGTGGGGTTCCACAAGGTTCAGTCCTAGGCCCGGTGCTGTTTCTTGTATACGTGAATGACATGGTGGATGGAATAGATTCAGAAGTGTCACTGTTCGCTGATGATGTGAAACTGATGAGGAGAATACAAGTGTTAGAGGATCAGTTAAGATTACAAGGGGATCTGGACAAACTACAAGTATGGTCCGACAAATGGCTCCTGGAGTTTAACCCCAGTAAGTGTAAGATCATGAAGATTGGGGAAGGACACAGAAGACCGCAGACGGAGTACAGGTTAGGAAACCAACAGCTGCAAACGTCAGTTTAAGAAAAGGATCTGGGGTGAGCATCATAACGAACATGTCCCCTGAGGCACACATCAATCAAATAACTGCTGCAGCATATGGGAGATTGGCAAACCTGAGATTGGCGTTTTGACATCTGAGTAAGGAGTCATTCACGACATTGTACACAGTGTACGTAAGGCCTATACTGGAATATGCAGCGCCAGTGTGGAACCCTCACTTAGTCAAACACGTCAAGAAATTGGAGAAAGTGCAAAAATTTGCAACACGATTAGTCCCGGAACTTAGGGGTATGTCTTATGAGGAGAGGTTAAGGGAACTCAACCTGATGACACTAGAGGATAGGAGGGATAGAGGGGACATGATAACAACGTATAAAATACTAAGAGGCATTAACAACGTGGACAAGGATCGAATGTTTCAGAGATGGAATACAGAAACACGGGGACACAATTGGAAACTGAAAACCCAGAGTCATAGGGATGTTAGGAAGTATTTCTTTAGTCTTAGAGTTGTCAGGAACTGGAGTAATCTGGAGAGCTATTTTTGGAAGCAAGTTCCATAAATAGCTTTAAGAAGATGTATGACAAATATCATGGACCAGGGAGAGAGTGAATTAGTATCGACCAGTGAAGAGGCGGGGCCAGGAGCTGTGACTCGACCCCTGCAACCACATATAGGTGAGTGCATATAGGTGAGTACACACACACACACACACACACACATATATATATATATATACACACACACACACATATACACACACACACACACACACACACACACACACACACACACACACATACACACACACACACACACACACACACACACACACACACACACACACACACACACACACACACACACACACACACACACACACACACACACACACACACAACAGAAGAGTAGGTGAAGTAGCTGTTCCGTGGGTTCCGAAACGTAGGTCGTAAGTATGTATATTCGATGGACTATATGGGAAGCGCCAAGCCTGACCTGCGTCTCTCCTGTCTATCCTTCAACTGACTTATGAATGATGCCTGGGTGAGTGGCATTCAAAACATGCTAGGGTCAGTGGTAATGTCAGTGAATAACTAGTGATTCACACAGACGGTTGGTAGTGAGTCATTACTACTGACACTGGTAACTGGTTACTGGTAACTGATGCCACCTAAAGTCAGGCACTGACTTTAGGTGCCTGTTCAGTAACTTCTTGAAGACAGCCAGGGGTCTATTGGTAATCCCCCTTATGTATGCTGGGAGGCAATTGAATAGTCTTGGTCCCGGGACACTTATTGTGTTGTCTCTCAGTGTACTCGTGGCACTCCTGCTTTTCATCGGGGGAATGTTGCATCTCCTGCCGAGTCTTTTGCTTTCATATGGAGTAATATTCGTGTGCAGGTTTGGTACCAATCCCTCCAGGACTTTCCAAGTGTATATGATCATGCATCTCTCTCGCCTGCGTTCGAGGAAATACAGATCAAGGACCTTCAACCATTCCCAGTAGTTTAGGTGCCTTGTCGCACTTATGTGTGCCGTGAAAGTTCTTTGTGCACTCTCCAGCTCTGTAATGTCGCCAGCCTTGAAGGGGGACATTAGTGTACAGCAGTATTCCAACCTAGAGAGCACAAGCAATTTGAAGAGAATCATCATGGGCTTGGCATCCCTAGTTTTGAAGGTTCTCATTATCCATCCTATTATTTCCTAGCGGATGAGGTAGATACATTGTTGTGGTCTTTGAAGGTGAGATCCTCTGACATTATCACTCCCAGGTCCTTCCTTCACATTACTTTTCCGCTCTATTGTATGGTTAGAATTTGTCGTATACCCTGACACATTTTTAATTTCTTCGAGTTTTCCATATCTGAGTAGTTGAAATTTCTCCTCGATGAACTTCATATTGTTTTGAGTGGCCCATTCGAAGATTTGGTTGATGTCCGCCTGGAGTCTCGCAGTGTCTTCGACGGGGGTCACTGCCATGGTGATCCGGGTGTCATCCGCAAAGGAAGACACGGAGCTATGGCTTACATCTCTTCTATGTCAGAAATGAGGATGAGGAATAGAATGGGAGCGAGTACTGTGCCTTGTGGAACAGAGCTTTTTACCATGGTTGCCTGGGATTTTACTCTGTTTGCTATTACTATTTGTGTTCTATTTGTCAGGAAGTTGTAGATCCATCTACCAACTTTTCCCGTTATTCCTTTATCCCGCATTTTGTGTGATATTACACCATGGTCACACTTGTCGAAAGCTTTTTCAAAGTCTGTGTATACTACATCTGTATTTTGTTTATCCTCTACAGCATCCAGGACCTTGTCATAGTGGTCAGTAGCTGGGACAGGCAGGAAGCGACCTGCTCTAAACCCGTGTTGCCTTGGGTTGTGTAACTGATGGGTATCTAGGTGGTTGACGATCTTGCTTCTGAAAACCCTCTCAGAGATTTTTATATGGGATGTTAGTGTTATCGGTCTGTAGTTCTTTGCAATTGCTTTACTGCCACCTGTGTGGAGTGGGGCTATGTCTGTTGTTTTTAGCGTGTGTGGGATGACCCCTGTGTCCATGCTCCCTCTTCATAAAATGCTGAAGGCACGCGATAGGGACTTCCTGCAGTTCTTGATAAACATGGAATTCCACGAGTCTGGGCATGAGTGCATGGGCATGTCATTAATTGCCTCTTCAAAATCTTGTGGAGTTATAATAATATCCGAGAGTTTTGGAATGACCAGATTTTGGGTTTCGTTCATAAAGAATTCATTTTGATTGTCGACCTTAGAGTGGGCAGTGGATCGCTGAACACTGAGTTATATTGGGACTTTAGTATCTCACTCATTTCTTGGCTATCATCTGTGTATATCACATCCCGCCTAAGCAGGGACCCAATACTGGATGTTGTTTTTCCCTTAGATTTGGCATAAGAGAAGAAGTTTTTTTTTTTCAATTTCCTTTATGGCTTTTAGTTCTTCCTGTGATTCTTGTCTCCTATAAGATTCCTTCAGCTTAAGTTCGATATTTGCAATTTCATTACTAGTGCTTCCCTTCATATTTCAGATATATTGACCCACTCAGCAGTTCTGTGACTCTTTGCCTTCGTCTGTATAGGAAGTGTCTCTCTCTTTCTAGTTTACATCTTCTCTTTCTTTTTTTAATGGAATGTGTCTTGAGCAGATCTCAAGAACCACAGAATTTATTTTTTTAAGGCAGATGTTCGGGTCCGTGTTGTTTAGGATATCTTACCACCTTATTTCATTTAGGACATGGTTTACTTGGTCCCATTGTATGTTTTTGTTATTGAAATTGAATTTGGTGAAGAGACCTTCATGACTGCTCACATATTGCTGGTCCGGAGCCCTGTGCATACATGTCTGTACTTCTATTATGTTGTGATCTGAGTGAATTGTCTGTGATACAGTTGTATTACATATCGGATCATCATTGTTAGTGAAGATGAGGTCCAGTGTATTTTCTAGTCTTGTAGGCTCAACTATTTGCTGGTTTAAGGTGAATTTGTTGCAGAGATTTAGTAGTTCGTGTGTGTGTGAATTTTCATCTGAGCTGCCTCCCGGAGTGATCTCTGCTAAAACATTATTTGCTATACTCTTTCATTTTAGGTGTCTTAGGTTGAAATCTCCTAGTAGTAAGATGTTCGGGGCAGGAGTTGGGAGATTTTCCAGACAGTGGTCAATTTTCTCAAGCTGCTCCTGGAATTGCTGTGAAGTTGCATCTGGAGGCTTATATACTACCACAATGACAAGGTTTTGGTTTTCGATCTTTACTGCCAAAACTTCAATTACATCATTTGAGGTATTTAGAAGTTCTATGCAAATGAGCGACTCTGTGACATACAGGCCAACCCCCCTCCCCCCCTTGTTGCCTGTTTAGTTTGTCGCATCGGAATAGGTTATAACCTGGGATCCATATATCGCTGTCATAATGATCCTTTATGTGGGTCTCTGTGAATGCTGCAAACATTGATTTGACTCCGTGAGCAGTGGAGGCAGGATCCATACACTGAATGAGACACATGTGCAAAATCTGGGTATCTTTATTTACAGACTTTCGTGAAACATGTACAAATGAAGATATCCAGATGTTGCACATGTGTCTAATTCTTCATACTGTCGGTATTGAACACAACTTATTTACAGGAAATTGACCTGACGCACTGGAGGACAGGAGAGACAGGGAGGACATGATAACGACATATAAAATACTGAGAGGAATCGACAAGGTAAACAGACAGGATGTTCCAGAGATGGGACACAGCAACAATGGGTCACAGTTGGAAGCTGAAGACACAGATGTGTCATTGGGATGTTAGGAAGTTTTCATCAGTCATAGAGTTGTCAGGAAGTGGAAAAGTGTGGAAAGTAATGTAGTAGATGCAGGATCTATACGTAGCTTTAAGAAAGGGTATGATAAAGCTCACGGAGCAGGGAGAGAGTAGCGACCAGTGAAGAGGCGAAGTCAGGAGCTATGAATCGACCCCTGCAACCACAACTAGGTGAGTACAATTCAGTGAGCACACATACACACTCACGCACACACACAGATTCATTCATACATATATGCATAAATACACATGCAAATAGTTAAAATAAATTTTCATACAAGAACTAGAGAAAACCTTAACGTTGCAGATGTAGTGTATACGTATATCTGCCGTACACTGGAGGTGACACCCCGGCGCAGGAGGTGGCTACTTGGACACCACACACAGGTCTGCTTCTTACCTCACACCTCCAATTCTTCCCTGACAAATTCTCAAAGTGAGTGGGATGAAACATTAATGCACGTATTTATCAAGTTTCATTAAAGGCAATTTAATTTTTTCTTTGTTTCAGGTCAGAAAAGAAAACTTGTTTTAACATTCTTCTCGAAATATTTTTGTTATTCAAATGGTCACCAATGTAAGAAACATTCTGTTTTAAACAATATTCAGAGGGATTATTTTAAATACATATTGAAAGTAAAAGATATTTTGATTATGAAACAAATAATAGTCTTCTCGTTGTAAATCAGTAAGCGTTAAATAATTTGTTTATAATACGTTAATAATGTTGATGCGATTACTAATCTCTCTATGATGCAAGGCTCCAGGCGGACATCAACCGAATCTTTCAGTGGGCTGCAGAAAACAATATGAAGTTCAACGATGAGAAATTTCAATTACTCAGATATGGTAAACACGAGGAAATTAAATCTTCATCAGAGTACAAAACAAATTCTGGCCACAAAATAGAGCGAAACACCAACGTCAAAGACCTGGGAGTGATCATGTCGGAGGATCTCACCTTCAAGGACCATAACATTGTATCAATCGCATCTGCTAGAAAAATGACAGGATGGATAATGAGAACCTTCAAAACTAGGGAGGCCAAGCCCATGATGACACTCTTCAGGTCACTTGTTCTGCACACTAACAGCACCTTCAAGGCAGGTGAAATTGCTGACCTAGAAAATGTACAGAGAACCTTCACGGCGCGCATAACGGAGATAAAACACCTCAATTACTAGGAGCGCTTGAGGTTCCTGAACCTGTATTCCCTGGAACGCAGGCAGGAGAGATACATGATTATATACACCTGGAAAATCCTAGAGGGACTAGTACCGAACTTGCACACGAAAATCACTCACTACGAAAGCAAAATACTTGGCAGACGATGCACCATCCCCCCAGTGAAAAGCAGGGGTGTCACTAGCACGTTAAGAGACCATACAATAAGTGTCAGGGGCCCGAGACTGTTCAACTGCCTCCCAGCACACATAAGGGGTATTACCAACAGACCCCTGACAGTCTTCAAGCTGGCACTGGACAAGCACCTAAAGTCGGTTCCTGACCAGCCGGGCTGTGGCTCGTACGTTGGTTTGCGTGCAGCCAGCAGCAACAGCCTGGTTGATCAGGCTCTGATCCACCAGAAGGCGTGGTCACAGACCGGGCCGCGGGGGCGTTGACCCCCGGAACTCTCTCCAGGTAAACTCCAGGTATACAGAAATAATAAACAAATTTTTGCCTCTACTGTATTATGTAAATAACTATATATTTCGGTTTCTGGGCGATCCGAGAAAGGTATCTCCATATTCCAAAATCCCAGCCTCCTCTACTACACTGCACGTGAATGTAACAATGGAGAGTGGTCGTAAAATTGAAGTGGCAGTAAAATATAAAAGTGTGAATTCGGGTGAGTGTGCTTGTGCACCACACACACACACACACACACCAACACACACACACACACACACACACACACACACACACACACACACACACACACACACCACAACACACACACACACACACACACACACATATATATATATATATATATATATATATATGTCGTGCCGAATATGTAAAACTGGTCAATTAGCAAGAACTCATTAAAATTAAGTCCTTTCTAAAATTTCTCTTATACGTTTAAAGATATATTTCTTTGATTAATGTTAATGTAAAAATTTTTAATTTTGCACCAAAAGCATCTTAGAAAACTTACTTAACCTTATTATAACAAGAAAAATTTATTTTAGCCTAACCCAACTAAATATATTTTAGATATGTTTACAATAATTTAATACTAAACAAACACAGTGAAATATATTTTTTTCGTTAGTTCAGAATGATTTTGGCGAAATTATTGCATACACAAATTTTCGCTTGTCCTATATGGCAAGATGAGCGTTGCTATTTAAGCCAAGATCGCAAGTTCTGCCTATTCGGCACGACATATATATATATATATATATATTATATATATATAATATATATATATATATATATATATATATATAATATATATATATATATATATATAAAGTGGTGAAGGTATGTAAAAGTAGAGGAATGAGAGAATGGGTGAGATGCCATTAACAAATTTTTCTGAGAATAAGAAAAAGTTTTGGAGTGAGATTAATAAGCTGAGAAAGCCTAGAGAACGAATGCATTTGAAGGATAAAAATAGTAGGAGAGAAGAGTTATTAGATGAAGAGTTGGAGGCTTCGTGAAGATGGAGAGAATATTTTGAGGAACTGTTAAATGTTGATGAAGATAGGGAAGCTGTGATTTCGTGCATTGGCCGTGGAGTTATAACATCTTGTAGGAGTGAGGAAGAACCAGATGTCAGTGTGGGGAAGGAACGTGGGTAGAATGAAAGGGGGTTAAGCAGGTGAGATTGATGGGAGCAAGACAGAAATGTTAAAATCATGTAGGGTATAGTTTTGCATTACTTAGTGTTTTTATTTAATAAATGTGTGAAAGAGGGGGATGGTACCTAAGGAATAGCAGAGAGCATCTATATTTCCTTAGTATAAAGGTAAAGAGGACAAAAGATGCCTTCCCTTTAAATGAGTCCCTTTAAATGGACCTTTTTTCTAGAGGTGTGAAAATTCCAAAGACAATTACAATATCTATCTATATTTTTATTTGGATTGTAAGGTAATTTTTATCATATCCAACGTCTGCCTCAAAAGCTTGTGGGATAGATAAACTATGTCTGTCTCCCACACTATGAGTGTTGGTATGCCTGGGAGCACTTCCTGCCGTCTGCCTGCATCCTAGCTGCCTCACTCCAACAAGGGCGCTTCTTGTGACCGTTTTTTCTTGGACCTTCTCCCCTCTCCTCTTCTCTGTCACATTGCAAGCTCTTGATGATGTGTTGATTGCAATACGAAAGGCCTAGAGCTATCATTCAGTTCCCCCGTATAAAAAAAATGTAATAATAGAATAAAAAATGCGTAAAATAAAATATTTTAATATTATTTTATTTTTACTTTTCTCTCAGACTATTCCATGGTCCGAATCTGCTGGTTGCGACAGAGGTTAATCCCTTTAATAAGATAATCAGTGTCACTGACCCTGAGGGCCACAGGGTTAACAGGGTTCACTTCACTGGTCCTGTGCCAAAAGTGGTGGATTTCCTCTCTAAAGCACTTAATTTTACGTAAGTAAACCTAACTTTCTCATTTCAATTTGGATAATGAAATGAATGGGTTTACAGCTATGGAAGACATTATCTCTGGTTTTCATTGCCCCAAAGATCTGTTGAAGCTTTATCAGGACGAGGTAAAAACTCATTTAATTATTATATTTTTATATGCAATAACTTTTGAGGACCTTATTAGTAGGTTACAATGTATGTTATGACGTGTTTTTCTTCCATAATTTTAGGCATTCCGTGACCTCTCCCTCACTTAGGAAAAGAACCAGTACTATAGTGCTACAATTCCACGAATTATCCTGCAGTTGAAACTAATAATTCAAATTTTCAGCTTGGTTTTCCCTGCCGTTTCCTCTAAAGCATAACACTCTCAATTGTAAAGTAATATGCGTATTCCCGTGTACAGTATATTTCCTTTCTTTTTCTGTACCATTATAACAAGATGAGGGAACCTTTTAGCTATATATAGTTCCAGACAACCATATTGACCAAGCACGTCTAGTTAGAGAGAGTGGCGACACCTAGTCGACACTAACGAGAGACTTCTATAACAATATGAGATCAGATACTGAAGATTAACAAGTGTAAGCTGTACGAGAAGGGAGACAACAGAATACGCAATGAACTAGTTACACATCTGGACATAACACAGTTTGAACATTGTTATCATTAGTACCCTATAAGCATAGACGGTCAGAATGACTTAAATAATTGTCAATATGAAAAAGTTTATTGACCTTAAAAAAGCTGTTTGTTAGTGTATGTATAAAATAAGGTAGGAGAGTCGCGTTTACAAGAGTGTAATTGCTTCCATGTAGCTCTTGGGCAGGGAAGAGCGGCTGGCAGTCTTAAGCTCTGGAACACTAAACTCTTGTTCATAATAACCTTGAACACTTTTTCAGCAACCTATAACCACCTCTAAAATAATAATTTTTCACGGTCTGAACAATAAAGACACTGTAGAAGCTATAGAGACTGCAAAAAGAAGATTGAGTTCTTCAGGTTTACACCAAACAACAACGTCCCGACACAACACGTAGTGATCTAGTATCAATAGCCAATGCACACGGAATTACTGTATATCTCTGTATGCAGGGACTCATCAAAGTCAGAGCATTCATAATAAATTTGAAAATATATTGTATAACGCTAGAGGAATATGTATCTCTCTCTCTCTCTCTCTCTCTCTCTCTCTCTCTCTCTCTCTCTCTCTCTCTCTCTCTCTCTCTCTCTCTCTCTCTCTCTCTCTCTCTCTCTCTCTCTCTCTCTCTTTTCTTTACCAAAAGGTTTTACAAGGCTAGGTAAGGGTTTTTGTCTTTAATTACAAGCTGAAAGCTGTTACCTACATCACCTCATTTTAAAGCCTTATTATTGTTATGAGACTTACAAATAGGGAACATGATGAACTTGGAGTCATCTGTAGGACAGTGATTTTATTTGATCGACTGACGTTATTTCAGCTTACAAGGTTCTCGGTCCGTCTCGGACCATTAACGAGTAGCAAAAAAAGAGCAAAGGCAAGAGAGCCAGTATTATATAGGAGATGAAGGCTGAGGTAGAAAGAATCATAATATGAAAGAAGCAATGAAAGTAGTTGTAGAAGCAGTGGTGGAAGTAGTTGTAGTCGAGTTAGTAGTGGGTAGTTAGAGCACTGGTAGTGACAGGCAGTGATAGTAGCAGAAGTAGTAGTAATAGTAGTAGTAGTAGTAAAAGTAGTAGTGATAATAGTAGTAGCACAGAAGTAGTAGTAATAGTAACAGTAGTAGTTGTAATGGTAGTAATTGAGGAAGTCTAAGTACAAGAAAAAGGATCACTGCAGGAAAGCTAATGTCTCACAAGAATGGGACCATAAACACTGGCGAAGAAAACTCAAAGGACAGACCTCACCAGATAGAGGAAAGGAGAGGAAAAGAAAATATAGGAAAGGAGAAAAAGTAAGGAGAGAAGGAGATAAAAATCAGGTCAAGTCACGAGTATTGTGAAGCTTGGAGCATTTCACAACGTAAGGAGAAAGGAAGACATCTTCAGAGACAAAGCCAGGACTAAGATTCATATTAGGAAAGTTGTATATAACAGATGCTTCAACACGACGGCGATTGTGAAGGCTAGAAAAAGGTTGACAGTTTTGGCAGAGGACCAGTTAACAGGAGAGCTGTGACCTCTAACATGACGTAAAAGATTATTGTCCTTCTCGGCAAGTCTAATACTTCTTTCGTGCTCTTTAAGTCTGTCAGAAAAAGAGCGGTCAGTTTCTTCATAGTATAGGAGAGGACAAGAGGACCAGGAAATGGTGTAGACTGTGAAAGTAGCAGGTGCAGGAGGAGAGGTAGGAATTAGATTAGTTGATTAGCAGTGGAAAGTCTTGGAGGAAAGAAAGCCCGTTTAGCACATAAGGAAGCAGACTTTATGAAATGGGAAGGGTAGCCAGAAAGAGAGAACGAATTACGAAGAGTGGAAATATCCGATTCAAGGAACTGAGAGTAACAAATGCGGAGAGCACGAAGAAAGAGAGAAATAAGAACACTTTTCTTGACAGAGGGAGCATAGCAAAAAAACAATAGTGAACGTACATGCCTCTCTGCAAAGCTTGTAATAAACGTAAAAAGCGCCTAAAGTCGATTAGTGGACAAATGCATCAAGATAAGGAAGCAAAGAGTTAGGTTCACATTGATCTTTAAACTTGATGGAAGGAACAAGATTATTATGTCCAAGACGGACTTAAGCTTCGTCATAAGTTTTCTTCTGCTATGCGCGGGTTTTTGTATATTGTTGCAGTCACAGAATTGTCCCTTTTTATTCCGATTTTATTTGTTTGACGTCATTATGCTTGTACTTTTACAGTATTAGTCATGTACATAACATAACAGAAAGGCCACTCATATCCCTCAGGTGTTGAAGGCTTTGCTGAAATGACAGATCTGTCCAAGCTGAGTCCTGGCTAGAGATGAGTCGTCTTACTTTGATCTCTGTCCTGTCAAGATAACGCAGATGAGACGGGGGACAGGTAATCAAAGAAAGCTGAGCTTACTCAGAGTGTGAGCATACTAGTTTTTCATACATGATCATGCAACCTCTACTGTCGAGCAGATGTGAGATACGTGTAAGCTTCTTGGCAGCTTTGTGTGCAAGATTTACAACATGGTTTTTCATAGTCAGTTTCGAGTCAAATTACACCCCTAGGATATCAACTTCATCCTCGGTCAACAACACTCTTCTATGCATTCTTACGATCTTGATGCCTATAGACCATCATCTCGTCATTCTTTGTGTTTTCTCAAGAGCAAATGTAACCTGCCAGTTTTTTTCCCCAGGCTGATTAGGTTGTAAGCTGGTGATTGATGTAACTTAGAGCAGTGAAGGTCAGAGTACAGTCGTCTGCAAATTCATGGGATTTAGTATGAGTTGAAGAAGATCAATGAAGTAGACATTCCATTACGATGACCCAAGATCACTTCCCTGTGGAACACTTGAAACAAGTGTCTTGTTGAGAACTACGCTTAGAGATCTCTCCTAGTGCTTGTAGTTTTCCCAAGAGTCCCTGGTGCCATACTCGTCGAAAGCACCAGCAATGTCCAGTGAAACTATGCAGTTAATATTGGATTCATCAAGTGATTAGGGCCACATAGTTTACAATTACTTAATAATAAACAAACACAATGAAATATACTTTTTTCGTTATGTTCAGAATGATTTTTTGAGAAATTATTGCAGGCAGAAATTTTCGCTTGCCTTATTCGGCAAGAAGAGCCAAAATTTAAGCCAAAATCGCAAGATTTACCTATTCGGCACGACATATATAATATATATATATATATATATAATATATATATATATATATATATATATATATATATATAATATATATATATAATATATATATATAAAGCTCCTGGAGAGCGAAACGTTGCCACAATAAAATGTCACATTAGTTGCACTTGTGTCCTTTTACTTTACATTTCCATTGTGCATGAGAAGCAAGTATCGTTCGAATTTACTTAAAGATTTGTTCTTTAAACATGCCAGAGGCTGCAAGGTGAAGCAGAGCCGGCATAATTAAATGGTTGCAACTTAGAATTAGTAGAAGAAGCAACAATATGAGGCAGTAAGAAATTGGAATTTGATTGATTTAACTTCAGGCTGTCATTCGAACTTACCTACAGAAGAGGTAGGATTCTGGGAGAGAGATGGGGTGACATACAGAAAAGACTTAAATTAAATACAAGGTTAACCTTGGGCCCCTCTTGAGGTTCATTCGTGATCCTTCAACACTGGTCGGCCTTGTACCAGAGCTCCTCGGTTGGAGTGCGGATTGTCATTATATCCTAAAGAAGCATTCAAGTGTCTTTAGTATCAATACCTGACCAACCGGGCTGTGGTTCGTACGTCAGCTTGCGTGCGGCAGCAGTAACAGCCTGGTTGATCAGACCCTGATCTACATGAGGCCTGGTTTCAGACCGAGCCGCGGGGGCGTTGACCCTCGAAATCCTCTACAGATATATATATATATATATATATATATATATATATATATATATATATATATATATATATAATTGGGCGTCCTGAATTTCATGAGATGATTGGAGGAATTTCAGTGTTGTACACAGGCGTTGTTCAAGTTATCGTTCCTACATGCGGGTGTCGAGGTTTCTTGCTGTTTCACCTACATAAATTTTGTTGCAGCCTCCACAGGGTATAGTGTAAACTCCTGCATTGACTGGTTCGTGGTGCTTGAACAACGCCTGTGTACAACACCGAAATTCCTCCAATCATCTCATGAAATTCAGGGACTCCCAATTAGTGATCAAAGAAACTAATTTCCGCAGACGCAAGTGCCTCGAGTCAGCACAATCGCTGTTTCGAATACAATTAACAAAACAAAGGCAGCTTCACCATCTCTGAAGTTTTAGCAAGAATCCTCCTGAAAACAGTAAACCCTGCCATCACATAGTCTTTCCTGTTAATACTACACAAAGCACATTACAGAGAGTGAACAATGAAAAAGGCTGCCTCTATCCAGTCTATATTTGTCTAACCTATTTTTATGTTACCCAAGTAATAGCTTTTATATCCTTTTACTCATGTACGAGTTAATTGCTTTACCATATTGTATTACTACTACTACTACAACTTTTATCGCTACTACTACTACTACCACTAGTATTGCACCTCACTCTGAGCCTATATATACCCTCTGTGCCCATGTACTGTTTGTTAATGGCTTGATAAAGCTCCTGAGAGCGAAACGTTGCCACAATAAAATGTCACATTAGTTGCACGTGTGTCCTTTTACTTTACATATTTTTCGGTAATTCTACCAACATTATTACACCAAGGAAATATTTATATATTAGAATTAAAACGAGAAACACCTATGTTAACAAACAATACAAACGTGGATGGTATTCTCCTTATTATTTTGAGTAACAATAACAAGGAGAATACCAGTCACGTTGATGTATCAAGTGTAGAAGAATAAAATTAAAAATGGCACTGACAGCAGCTATTTTGTGCTAAGGACATGACAGCCTCCACCCAACCTCACCTTCACGGGTTATTTTTTCTCTCTCACCAGTGTTTTTTAATTACTTCCAAGCTGTTGTTTATTCTAACCGGGATATGCATGAAGGGAGGATAAGAGACATAAAGGGGTATTTAAAAGGGACGAAGGCAGAAAGAAGATAGAGTGGTAGAGAGGAAGGGAAAAAGAGAGAGAGAGAGGGGGTGAGGGAGTGGGTGGAGAAACAGAATGAGAAAATGAGGAAGATGTAGGTACAAATATACACATTAATATTTATATGGGGCTTTATTAAATACTTGTGCCCAGCAGTACAGCACATTCCATACTGGAGTTCTTAGGTTCCAACCTAAAGCGTTGCACATATTTTTTTTTTTAATTTAAGCATATAATTCAGCATTTGCAAGGTGATGATGGTAACAAAAAAAAAATAAGCAATGTAAGATTGAAAATCAGATTGGAGGGACTCAGTGTGAAGGAAGTGAATGTGTTCAGATATTTGTCAGTGGACTTGTCAGCAACTGTGTCTATGAGAGACGAAGTGAACCATAGAACTGATGACAAGTGGAATTACTGAGCGACAGGCAAGTGACATTATTTATAAATATGTAATAGACGATGCTGTTAGCTAAGCTTTCGATGTTGTTTACTTTGCATATATATTTTCTAAATTCTCTAACTTCTTAACAACATTTTCAACGAAATGTTAGTGATTTTTCCGTTATTTTTTTTTTTCAGAAAAATAACGCAACTACTGAAAGTTTTTTGCTTAACTAATAACTTCAGTTGTAATTATGTACACGTAACAGTTTTGGCATAATTTCGGCAGGTGTTGCAACTTACCTGTAACTTTCAAGACCACAGAGTTGGTGTTAATACTTACATTCACTATTATTTTATTGCAGATGCTACAGTTTGTAAAGAATTAAAAGTGAGTTATGTTGTTAATTCAGTTGTAAATCATATGAGTATTGCAGTATGTGTCAGGGAGATGGTATATAGCTTATAAGTTACTCTAAACAGTTACTGCGTACCACACCAGGTACACCTACTTACGGCCTCCTGATGGAGTCTGGGGCGTTAGTGTTGGTAACGGCTCGTGGTCCGGTATGGTAGGACTGGTGATGAGAGAGGTGAGTGTAGCGAGAAATTTAGTAAAGTCTCTCTCATGTACCACTATCTCAAGATGAAAAAGAAAGATATTTGTTTTGACTCTCTTTTAGTTTGCTTTAGTTTATGATTTCACAGCACACGCTCTCTAGGGTTGGGTGGTCTTGGTGGCCTCAATAATATCTAGAGGTATGTAATTGCTTTCTGTGGAGAAATTTTCTCCAGGAGGGGGTATCAGCCCCCTTCAACCCTTTCAGCCCCCTTCAGCCCCTCTCAGCCCTGAGGGGCCACTCAGAAGGGGCGAGCGTCTTGTTTACTGCTAGAGTGAGTAATTGATCACAGATGCTATGCCATGTAATCAAGTGACCTCTGCTCCTTGCAACGGTGTTGCAACGTGTATTTTTATAAGAGACAGTACATCTCTTACTTAGCAGGACAATTAAGGAAAATCCTGCTCCCACTTTATTACCATAGTAAAGATAGTGTACATTGTTGTCTATAAGACAGCAAGAAACAAACATTCTGCTTTGCTTCATCGAGGAGGTGACAAGGATGCAAGGTACTAGGTCAGCGTTTTTTTTTTGTGCTGGGGGGAGTGACGGCATGGAGCGCTGTGGCGTCTGGCAGATTACTTTTGACTCTGGAGAGAGTCACACTGACGCCAGGATAACCAGCAAAGGACACTGATCTGTGCGTTAGTGTGAATAAAGTGTCTCACAAAACACAATAAACTCTTAAGAGAAGTGTGATCAGCTTCTCTTGTGATACATTGTGAACAATAAAGACAAATCTTGTAGAACATAGTGTACCAGTGTGCGTTTCCTAGACAATGGAAGAGGTGGACATCCAAGGACACTTCAGCTTCTATCAAGTCACCGATATCTGTCGAAGGTGTTGAGAACACCATAGCTCACGTTACAAAGAGCAAGGTATGTTACGAATTTCTTGTAGATCGGGGGATTGCGCAATTCTTGAGTCACAAGGAGTTTGTAATCAACCTATAATCGGCAGTAAGGTGTGGACTTTTGAGTCCAAACAAGTAAGTATTTCGTCAGCCATCATCGAATGAAATATGCTGACATAACACCCCCTAGGGGTAATTTATACTTACAAATTGTATCTCTTGACAGCCCACTGTTGTGATGGTTTCGACAGCATCTAGACCTCGTCTGCAGGGGCGGCTGTGTAGACGATTTGCTGTCATTTATCAGCTAAGTGTTCATTATATATATATAATAAACACAGCAGGTAAGGCCAAAAATTCTCAACAGAGTTTTTGGTCGTGCTCGAACCGGATAAAGACCACACTGTGGTCCAAATATGTTGTACTACAGTGTACAAATAACCTATGAGCCAAGGTCCTTCGAAAAAAGCTGTAAAACTAGTGTTTTACAATATAAATCAGTATAAATGAGTCCCTCCAGACTCAATCACAGAGAATGGGCAGCCAAAAGAAAACGGGCGCTCACCCAGCGTTCACCCAAAAGAAAACGGGCGCTCACCCAGCGGACACCCAAAGAAAACGGGAGCTGGGTGACTCACCCACACCCTGCAACCACTGCTCCAATCTGGAGAAAATGCTGATTAATACAACAACTACCAAATGATGTTGTTTGTCTGAGTGTATATATACACAGTGTTTATAATGTTTATAGACAGAAATTAAAAGACAAGTTGTGTTAAAGTTTGTTTTTTTATAGACTACCTGTTATATTAAAGGAACTTAAATAAAGGTAAGCTTTCAAATATATCTCTCCTAGTGTTATAGTTTTCCCCAAGGTCCGTGCATACTCTCGAAAGCACCAGCATGCCAGTAAAACTAGCATTTAAATATTGGATTCACAAGTGATAGGGCCACATGTTTAAAATTTACTTAATAAAAAACCCAAACACAATGAAAATATTTTTTTTTTCGTTATTTTCAGAATATTTTTTGGAAATTATTGCAGGCAGAAATTTTCGCTTCCCTTATTCGGCAAGAAGACCCCAAAATTTAACCAAAAATTCGAAAGTTTACCTTTTTCGTCACCGACTTTTTATATAATATATATTTTAATATAATATATATATTATAAAATATTATTTATATTATATCAAAAATAATATATATAAAGCCCCTGGAGAGCAAAACGTTCCACAAAAAATGTCACTTTTAGTTGCACTTGTGTCCTTTTTTTTAACTTTTCCATTGTGCATGAGAAGAAAGGTATCGTTCGAATGTACTTAAAGATTTGTTCTTTAAACATGCCAGGGCTGAAGGTGAAGCAACCGGGCAAAAATTAAAAGGGTTTGCAACTTAAATTTAGAAAAAGCAAAAAAATTGAGGCAGTAAAAAATTGGAATTTGATGATTTAATTTAGGCGTCATTGGGACTTACCTACAAAAGAGGTAGGTTTTGGGGAGAGAGATGGGGTGACTAACAAAAAGATTTAAAAAAAATACAAGGTTCCCTTGGGGCCCCTTTTGAGGTTCTTTCGTGATTTTTCAACCTGGTCGGCCTTGTACAGAGCCCCCGGTTGGAGTGCGGATGCTTTTTCCCTAAAGAAGCTTTTAAGTCCCTTTTGTATCATACTGCCCAAAAAGGGTTGTGGTTCGTACGTCAGTTGCGTGGGGCCAGCAGTAACCCCTGGTTGATCAACCTGATCTCCCATGAGGCCGGGTTTCAGACCGAGCCGCGGGGGCGTTGACCCCGAAATCCTCTACAATAAAATATATATATATATATATTTATATATAATTATATATATTTTTATATATATATATATATTATATAAAATAAAAAATTGGGCGTCCCTAATTTCATGAGATGATTGGAGGAATTTCAGTGTTTGTACACAGGCTTTTTTCAAGTTATCGTTCCTACATGCGTAAATGTGTTCATTGAGGCGGTGTCGGGTTTCTGCTGTTTCACCCTTTCATAAATATTTTTGCAGCCTCCACAGGGGATAGTGTAAACTCCTGCAATGACTGGTTCGTGGTGCTTGAACAACGCCTGTGTACAACACCGAAATTTTCCCCCAATCATCTCAATGAAATTCAGGGACTCCCAATTAGTGATCAAAGAAACTAATTTCCGCAGACGCAAGTGCCTCGAGTCAGCACTAACGCTGTTTCGAATACAATTAAACAAAACAAAAGGCAGCTTCACCATCTCTGAAGTCTTAGCAAGAATCCTCCTGAAAACAGTAAACCCTGCCACCCCATAGTCTCTCCTGTTAATACTACACAAAGCACATTACAGAGAGTGAACAATGAAAAAGGCTGCCCTTCTACAGTCTTTATTTTGTCTAACCTTTTTTTATGTTACCCAAGTAATAGCTTTTATATCCTTTTACCTCATGTACGAGTTAATTGCTCTCCCATATTGTATTACTACTACTACTACAACTTTTATCGCTACTACTACTACTACCATTAGTATTTCACCTCACTCTGACCTATATATACCCTCTGTGTCCATGTATTTGTTTGTAATGGTTTGATAAAGGCTCCTGAGAGCGAAAACGTTGCCACAATAAAATGTCACATTAGTTCCCACTTGTGTCCTTTACTTTACAATATTTCGGTAATTCTACCAACATTATTACACCAAGGAAATATTTATATATTAAAAATTAAAACGAAAACACCTATGTTAACAAACAATACAACCGTGGATGGTATTCCCTTATTATTTTGATTAACAATAACAAGGAGAATACCAGTCACGTTGATGTAATCAAGTGTAGAAGAATAAAATTAAAAATGCACTGAACAGCAGCTATTTTGTGCTAAGGACATGACAGCCTCCACCCAACCTCCCCTTTCCCGGTTATTTTTTCTCTCTCACCAGTGTTTTTTAATTACTTCCAAGCTGTTGTTTATTCTAACCGGGATATGCATGAAGGGGGGATAAGAGACATAAAGGGGTATTTAAAAGGGACGAAAAGGGAGAAAGAAGATGAGTGGTAGAGAGGAAGGGAAAAAGAAAAGAGAGAGAGAGAGGGGGGGTGAGGGAGTGGGTGGAGAAACAGAATGAGAAAATGAGGAAGATTAGGTACAAATATACACATTAATATTTATATGGGGCTTTATTAAATACTTTTGCCCAGCATACAGCACATTCCATACTGGGGTTCTTAGGTTCCAACCTAAAGCGTTGCACATATTTTTTTTTTAATTTAAGCATACAATTCAGCATTTGCAAGGTGATGTTTGGTAACAAAAAAAAAATAAGCAATGTAAGATTGAAAATCGTTTGGGGGGGGACCAGTTTTGGAAGGAATTAAAAGTTTTCAGATTTTGTCAGTGGCTTGTCACAACTGGGGTCTATAAAGAGACAAGTGAACCATAAATGAGACAAGGGGAATTACTGGCAACGGGCCCAAGTAAACATTATTTATAAAATTTTAAATAGACGAGGGCTGTTGGGCAAAGCTTTCGTTTTGTTTATTTTGCTATATTTTTTAAAAAAATTCTCTAACTTCTTAACAACATTTTAAACCAAAATGTTAGGTTTTTTTTCCTTTATTTTTTTTTTCAGAAAAAAAAAGGGCCAAATTTAAAGTTTTTTTGTTTAAACTAATAACTTCGTTGTAATTATGACAATAACAGTTTTGGCTAATTTCGGCGGGTTGTTAAAAACTTCCCTTTGAACTTTAAAGAACCACAATTTGGGGTTTTAAATTTACTTACATTCACAAATTTTTTTATTGGGATGCTACATTTGTAAAAAATTTAAAAAGGGGATTTAATTTTTTTGTTAATTTTTTTTTGTAAATCATATGGTATTCCCATTTTTTTGGCCCAGGAGATGGTATTTTACCCTTATAATTTTACCCCTAAACAGTTACTGCTTTACCACACCGGGTAAAAACCCTACTTACGGCCCCCCTTTATGGGCGGGGCGTTGGGTGGGGTTTCGGCTCGGGGCCCGGTATGGGGGAAATTGGGTGATAAAGAGGGGTTTGGAGAGTAGCGAAAATTTGAAAAGTCCCTCTCTTTGTACCACTACCAAGAAAAAAAGAAAGATTTTTTTTTTTGACTCTCTTTTAGTTTTGCTTTAGTTTAAATTTCCCCAGCACAGTCTCTGGGGTTTGGGGGTGGTTTTTGGGGCCCAATAAAATCAAGAGGTTTTATTCATGTGGATTCAAACACGTGGATTGGTAAGAATACTCACGTGGGGGCTGGTTTAGTCTTTAAAATTCGACAAGGTGGGAGTTCGCCCTTACAGCCGTACCAATCCTCTCGCTCCTCTCGTAAACAAGGCTGGGCTGGCCCCCCACAGTTCCCATAGGGGGAGGGTCTTTGAATAATGCCAGGTCAGCGCAATATGAGTTCAGACAGTGACTCAGGCAGAGACGGTTGGTCGTTGAGTCAACGGTACACTGGTTACTGGTAACTGGTTACTACTACTGAGATGTAATTGCTTTCTTTTGTTTCGTTTTATGAAACTTTTTTTTATTTTGAAAGCATTTTCATTCTGTAGCTGTTAGGTTGTGAAAGTCATTAATATTTAAAAAAAAAAAAAGTTTGACTGTTCTGATACTATGAATAATGAGGTCGGGTTACCAGTATTAGCTTCATGTAATAACTAAATGAACCAATTTTGCCAATTTTATTAAGCAACTTGCCTATCTTCTTTAGGAAGTAGATATCGGTGCTGGCCCTTTCTCGGTTGAAAGAAGTCGAAGCAAAGTGGTGGATTTTACTGTTCCAATACTGGTGGATTTCTGGAGGATTCTAGGAGTTCGAGGACTTCCTAAGGTAGATCCATGGGGCTTCCTGTTTCCCCTGTCTTCACTGGTGTGGGTTGCCATCATGGCGGCCTTGTTGCTGCTAGCTGCTGCAGTTTTCATCATGTCGTCAAGTTTCCATCACAAAAGGGTTGGCCACAGCAACTATTTACATCTCTTCTTCAACTTCATTCGAATACTGTTACAGCAAGGTAATAATAGGAATATTTTATTGAAATTATTGTTTATTTCATATGTATCATTATTTCTGTTCATTGTATAGATACAATAACCGTGATGGAATATTATATCACTGCAATATCATTGGACATAAAGTTAAATTTCTTAAAAAAAAAAATACCAGATGTAGATTGCAATGGAGATTACTCAGTATAAGTGGATAGAGAAAGATGGTCACCCTGGCAAGTACTGTTGACACAGACACTCTGAGAGGAGTCGTCTCAGTCTCACAAGTGGCTTTTAGGACACATTTCCATATGTAAACTGATCTTGCAAGAAATTCCCAACTACATTCACAAACAAAGGACTGACTTACTTGGTTGTGGACAATATGCTACTAGAAATCCCCTGATTCTACCAAGCAAATCTAGATACCTCTGGTATCTGGTACAGTGAAGGAGTTATTCCTCCAAGTGTTCAGATGGTATTAGTATCACCTGCCTGCACCTTAAAGATCCCTGAATTCAAAGCGTATTCCCTAAGTAATATTTATGCAGTAAGTGAGACACTAGCTTCTAGTGGGTTATTAGTGGGCGTTCGCCCACAGTTCAAATAACTCACGCTCCTCAGAACAGAACAGAAGAACCTCACAGAACCAGTTTCCTGATACAGTGAAAGGACAGAACTTGCACCGGTTAAACACTCAATATATCTCTATATATTAAGCTTGTGAATACATAGGAGAGTAGTATGATGATGGATGATTTCTGCCCTTTAGAAAGTTGGAAAAATACTAGAGCTTAAGATTTTTTTTTATATTTTATTTAAAAGCAATTCAGCGTAACATAAAAATAAAAAATAAAAAGGAAACAGTATGGATCTCAATCCTGAAGGTTCGTACACTGACAAAATAAACCCGACACAAATTAACTGACACAAAAGGATTGCACCTATATACTCGCAAGATATTGCTGTATAACATACAACAATAACTTACGGCATGAACATAGCTACAAATAAACACAGTAACAGGGTCGTGAACTGAAATATATACACATTTATGATTCAAAACCTTACATATATATAAATTTAACATATAACATGACATATGACAAAGGCTCAATACAATAGAAAAGAATATATACAAGAAATTGTATCAATTAATCCCATCCTTCGCATTAATCAATAAACCAAAACCTAACATCCTAATCTTACTAGAACATCTACATACTTATCCCTAACAATACAGCTGTAACATATACCAAAATACGAATAAACATAAAAAGAAAACAGCTTAGATCTCAAAACCGAAGGCTCATTACTGTTACAATAAACACGTATACAAAATCTCAGACACAAAAGGAATGCGTCTATAAACTGGCTAAATATGTCTGTCTACCATACAGCTAAAACTTACATCAAGAACATAGCAATGAAAACAAACCGGTATGAGATTACTGACCTAAATTATAAACTTTAAAATGAATCGAAACCATCCATAAAGTTTTAAATATGTTATATAGATCATTTTAAATATGTTATATAGATCATTTTAAATATGTTATATAGATCATAACGAGACCTCAAACTCTACATCCACACTTGGCATGATAACCACAAGGTTGATGAAATAATGCCTCAATAAAAACCAGGAAACCATTCCATACCCACATTCACAACACTCTCACGACCCCCCTTTCCCAAGGAGGCGAGCCCGCTGTGACCCCCTGACTCCCTCTCAACCTATGAAAACCCCTTCACTCACTCATTATCATTCACAGATTCACGAGAATTCCTAACGTTAGCGTTCTATACCCCTCTGAGAAAACCTGATCCCACCTCCTCCCATACAATTTTCTGTTACGACATATCGTACGATAGAACGTTATCGCAAGAACCCTCCTTCGCTCTTCACTATCCCCTCTCCCCCTCATCACCCACGATATATTATATATATATATATATATATATATTTATTATATATATATATATATATATATATATATATATATATATATTATATATATATATATTATATATTCTATAAAATAATATAATATATATATACAATAATCATCTTATATATATAATCACATATTAATATATATAACAACCATGAAATAATCTAAAGCTCTCTCAGACCAAACCCTCGTCTAACCCACCTATCTAGACTTAAAAAGCACGCAGAACCGACAACCCACGACCTCCCACCCTCTGTACCAACCTACTTAATCAGCACCTGACGCCCTCTAACCCTTCACAAAAACAAACTACATGGAACGCAGTCTCGTCCCCTCCACAGATACCACACACCCACCCTCTACAACCTGTCTGTTCCGTAGTATCGCTCCAGACGGAAGGATCCCATGCAGAAAACGAAACATCACCTCACATGCCCGAGGGTTTAACTTCAACTTACTAAATCTATACCAAATACTCTTCCACGCATACATGGGGAACAAGCCCTCAATTGGGACAACGCACCTACCTACAAGCAACCTACACAAAACCCTTATGCGAACCTTTCTCAGCTTCCTTAACCAACATCACGGCCCTCAAAACGATTTCGCATTCCCAACTGCCCCGCGTTCACACCCACATGCAAAACTTCCCATTTAAGAAACACACATTTAGCCCTCCATCTCAAATCCATCAACCCCAACCCACACTGACGTACAGGTAACATTACAACTTCTCTCCTTAACCAATCACAACGTGAACCCTACAAAAATTTGTACACCTTTCTTAAGATCCCCGCAATCCCTGTCCCTGTAATTGGGAACACAGCTGTGACATGCCAAACCTTACTATACAATAAAATGTTTACGACAATCACTCGCTGTACAAGAGTTAGGTGCTGGGGTCTCAGAACACTTAGATGCCCCACGATCCTTTCCAATAACCTATCCGAGTTTTTCTTCCACGCCGCAACCATGTCATCCTTATAAATAATACCACAAATCTTTAGAGACACCGCCCATTCTTTAACAACATTACAACTCCCCCTCACCCCCCCCACCCAAGAACCCAACCCCATGCACCTTGACTTCGCACTATTTACCTGCATTCCCGTGGCACTTCCAAACAATTGCACAACCTCGTCTAACACTCCCATTGACATCCCTTCACGAATGAGAACAGTGGTGTCGTCTACATATCCAATTAATCCCGGCCAGGCTCTCCCACCCCCACACTTCCCTCACATGGCGTACATAAGCTGCGGTCAACCATTCTATAAAAGGGGTCCTGAAAACATGCAAACAATATTTGGTACATGGGGCATCCCTGTCTAAGGCCTCTACCCATTGCAATATCCCTCCCCATACACCCATTAACCTGTATCCTCATTTTCGCCCCTTTATACAACGTATTTACCCACTCAACTATTTCCTCCCCATAACCCTGTCTCCTAAGTATAACCTGCAAAGCTCTCCTTTCCACTCTATCATAAGCTCCCTGCCAATCTAGAGCCATCAAAGCCCCCCCCAACCCCCACCTTTAGCTTCCACAAAACTTCTCAGTATCCCATGTCCTTCAATCATCGACCTTCCCTGCAACCCAAACTGAGATTTCGACACCACCCTCCACACAACACATTTGAACCTATTATCTAAAATTTTTGCAAAAACCTTATAGTCTGCACACATCAGCAATACGGCTCGGTACTTCCGTAGGGTGGGCTGCCCCTTGCCCTTCGGGACCAACACTACAACTGCTGTAGCCTGCTTCTCCCCCAACTTACCCTTCTCCTTCATACGATTAAGTAACCTAACTATAAATCCCCATATTAACATCCAGTGTTGTATATAAAATTCTACCGGGAGACTGTCAATACCCCGAGCTTTCCCCTTCCTCATTCCCCTTATTGCATTCTCTATTTCCTCTGCTGTAATAATCCCACCTAAAGCCTTTCTGTTGCTATTTCCTAAATTACAAGTCACATATGTACACACCTTGTCTAACGCCCCGGCACCCACCCTCCCACTTGTCCAGTACTTCTCTTACCAACCCTCCGCATATGCACACATCCCCTTCATGGTTCTTATTTCCTGCCCTGTTCTATAAGTCCTGACCGTCTCAGTTACCTCTAAACTTGGGATAGCCGTCACCGCCTGCCTTTGCTTTTGATGCCGCAAAACACACACAGACGGCATGTCGCTCCAAAGCACTTCTTCCACCCCTGCCTGCACCCTTACAGCTTGAAACCTTTCATTTTGTAACACCCTCAATCTCCCTTTCATTTCAACTATTTCATTCATAGGAAAATTATTCCCAACCATCCCACGCCCATAGCAACCTCTTAACCTATCCTCTAAATAGTTAGCCAGTCCATATTTTAAATTATTAATACGTTTTCCTTCCCTCACATAAAACTTTCTAATCATTTCCTTCGCAACACAATCTCACCATGTCACGATGTCGTCCACCCCTGTTCTTCCACACTAAGCTCCCTCCATAGGACTGAAAACCCCTCCAACCCCTCCTCTTCACCTAACACACTTATATTTAGTTTCCAATAACTTCTGTATATTTCTGCGAGCACCCCCCCACCCAACCTCCACCACCACTATCCTATGATCTGACATTGTAGCCTCAACAGTACTGAAAGATTTCACATCCACTCCCTGAGAAAGGTACACTCTATCTATCCTCACAGCATATCCACTCCTAACAAACGTATGTTCAGTCTCCCACACTGCCCCCCAAACGCATCACGTAACCTGACATCCCTTAACAATTCCCTAAGAGCCACAGACATATATCCAACCCCTTTTGGTCCACGTCAGCCACCCTGATTACACTATTCCATTCCCCACCAACTATTGCCACCTCTGGCAGTGTACGCAAGAAAAACACAAGATCCTCACACACAAAATCATTCTTTACCTGTATGTTATTTTCTACCGGAGCATACACACTCACAAAAGACACACGCTTACCCATCCACCACCCATCCACACAGAACACCCTCCCTCCCCCCCCTCGCTTCTCTGCAAAACAAACGATCTCATCTCCCTTATTAAAATACCCA